ATCCTTCTCCTGCCCCCTCCCACCAGAGGCGTTCTACTTACTGTTTAGTAACTCTATCTCTTACGTCAACACATATTCCATCGTGCAGACAAACTGATTTCTCTCTAAAATCTAGAAGCGTTGCTGTATCATTGAACTTAGTAGGCTGATTGTTTGGGGTAGAATTCAGAATTTGAAGCATCAGAAGCGCAGCTAAGGAACAGCTACGACCTCTAAAGTCATCGATGATTTTCTTTGCCTAAATAGTCTAAATGCTCATCATCTTAATACTTTACTGAACAAGCCACCCATTTTCAAGTGTCTTTAGGTGTTTGTTACAAAAAGAGGCCTTCCTATTCATTTGGGAGACCATTAGCTCTCACATCTTAATACTTGCTAATGAGAGTCGTTCAAGCATTTAAAGGTTATGGCAGCCTTTTGTGACCTTAAGAACCGAATTTAACACTTGCGCATGATAGTGGGTTGTTCTACACCAGCTCAACTTTGCTGATATTTTAGAAATATTGCGCTAGTTCACAGGAACTCAATCCATCAAGACGGTTTCAATTCTGTAAATGACAATTATACTTTTTGAGTAGCGAGTAGCACCAGTTAAAATGAGAAACAAGCTTGAAGAATTGTTTCGAGAAAAGTTATTGCAGCTTTAGGCAGTATATCTGCTGTATGCGTCCAATTTTTCTTTAGGTCAACAGTAGGCTACAATTGAAAAAGTAATTTATTCGTCTCAAAGAAGTAGTACTGCTATACCGCATGTGATCGCTGGAAGTGATACGAAAAGTTGAAGGTTGCGCCAAAATCAACCTTTAGCTACAATATTGGCTTTCAAATTAAAATCGTTTCCAAACTAACTCACATTCGGCTTAGGAAACGGATGTGCATCTCATAATCTCAATCAACCTTTCTTGGTGTTTCAGAAATAGCTACGCTATCGCTTATCGAAATCATTATCTACAATGAGATAAGTTCGGAGTCCTACGGAGCACTGCTTCTTACAAAGCCTCTCGCGAATTTGTACATACAAAAATGAGCTCCACATTTTGCAGCACACACTAAGTAAACGCTTACCTCCATGTCTTTGGTGGTCCACAATCTTTGGCAGAGGTGCTATAAGGCGCTTCGCTATTTTTCCCATTGTTTATTGATTTTCAACGAGAAAATTCTTTCATACTTTGTTTAGATTTTGTACTGCCCTTTTTAACTCAACCTCTCCTCCTCTTCTTCCTCCCGTTTTCTCCTCCGTTCGAGTGGTTAACTTAATGCAAGAGATGAGGGGAAGTACAAGAATTCTTGAGAAGAGGCCAAAAAGTTCGTCATTTTCTTTTTTCTCTTTTCTACGAAGATTTTTACATTACCTCAACGGCACTTACAATATCCGTGGGTTTACGTAAACTCCTAGTATTACTCCTAGCATTTCGGTTCGATTCAGAGTTCTTCTGAGATTGTCCATTGACCTCTCTAGTGGATGATCTATTGTGGTAGTGCGCCCCAAATATACGAGGCCGGCCGCCTAAGACTTTAACTTCAAAGAACCACAAAACA